GGTCGAGGGTTAAGGCTCGAAGATGTATCTTGAGGACACGCGTGCTGCTTACTTCGTTGTAAGGCCTTCGGTGGGCAGTGAATCGTGCACCTTTTGTGAGAAGATCGTCGAAGAGTGTACGAGCCATGTGAGTTTCGTGAGATCTTCTGAAGATTTGTCAGGTTTGGTTTGGGCTTCGAAGCACGGAAGCATACTTGCAGACAAGCGCGATTCAACACAGGTCATGTCGGTACACTTCGTGACAACCGTTGGTAAGAATAGTTTGTCTGATAGTCGTGTTGGCAACGGGACAATTGCAGCGGTTAAGTTGCACGAAGGCTTGTTTCGCATGATGGCAGCCGTTTCACGCATGTTGTGGGGCGGAGTCCATGCAGCATCGAAGCCCACTCCGGTTCAGTTCGGTGTTATTGGTGGCAGAGCAGTACACTCAGACTTGACAACTTGGTAATCTTTGTCATGGCAATGGGTTTGGCTAAAGTGGAGACAGCAGGACAGTTGTGGTTGATGAATTCCATTGATAACCATCCGGCCCTTCAAGAGTGCGCCATGTCGTTATACCGGCCGAGCAGCGCAGGTTATGAGGGCAGCGTGTTCCTCACCACCATGTCACAAAACAAGCAGGCCAGGCCAGCCCAGGCCCCAGGGCCTCGCCAAAGTCTCCTGGTCAGGCACCGAAGTGGAGCTTCGCTGGGCGTTACGGTGCGAACACAAGGACGGGCCGAAACACAATTTTGTCCCGAATGTGCGCATGCCGGAAAAGCTTCCGACAAGAGGCTGCTGACACCCGGACCTGGCACCTATGGTGCTGATTCGCGATCGCAAAGGCAAGGCCCCGCTGAGCTGCCTTGTAGGCTCTCGAGTTCGACAGTGATTTGCTGTCCATCCGAGAGCTTTGTACGCCAGGCCAGCTGGCTACGGCTTCGGGTCCTGCGCACGGGATCAGGTGCTGTTTTGCTCCTGTTTCCCTTCATAGGCCTTGGTTTGGCCCGACTTCGGCGCATCGTGGCAGGGCCCGCTGTCCATGGCATCCCCGGGCCCCGGAGCTTACGGCGTGAGCGAGTGCTACGGGTCGGCCGCTGCCCCAACTGAGCTCATAGCGGATGGTGCCGCCGATTTCGGGGGGTTTTTGGAAGCTTCATTCAGCAGTTCTCTTTTCTGCACGGTTGCCCAGTATGTCCAGTATGTCAGCTGTCCCCTGCCTGTAGGATGTCATGTCGTTTCGAAACTCTTGAGGTCCGTAGTTGCAACGATTCGCCCTCGCTTCGTAGATTGGGTTCGAAGAAGTCCGAACTGCACGACGACGGGCTTCTCGCAAGTCTGAGTCGCAGAAACCTCGAATAAAAAACAAAAACTTCCGCTAGTTTGCTCTCTGCATCAGAAGCGACCACACTCCGCGGGGCCTGCCTTCGGCAGAGCGAGACGTGGGCTGTGTGCTCAGTTCACAAGCATGCTCGAGAGATCCGAATCCATCTACAGATTCCGAAGCGTGCAGGCTTGGGAATGGTGGTGGAACTCCAGGACAGAAAGGGAAGAGTCGTGAATGGAGCTGCGAGAGTCTAAGATCCCGATCTGTTTTTCCGGCTTTCGACAGGTCCTGGCGCCTATGTGCCGAATGTGAACTCCACGAGGCCTGAGCTGAGGGCTTGAAGGGCCCTTCTCCGGAGTCAAGCTTAAAGCAGGCCGCAGTGCCCGCGACACACCTGCACTCCTCGCCGGGATGGGTCGGTGGTGCGGTGGCGGTCGGCCGGGCAAGTCTTTGGAAGAGCGCGAGTTCAAGCTCGAAAACGATCTGCACTGGCATTGGTCTTTCGAGGTGCTCCACGCCAGGTCCCGGGACTTACGGCGACTTTTGCGGCCACGCCGAAAGCACCTGGGCGCAAGAAGGTAGCTCTGCGCGTGGACACGGGCACCCTGGCGAGGTCCGCTGTCTAACTCGGCCCCGAGATGGGGGCTCCTTGGCTGTGTAAAGATCCCTCCGACGTCATCGTGTAACAGTGTTCACGTATGTCTAGTGGATTGTCCCAGGTTTGGAACCTCCAACCGGGGCATCCGTGCCAATGGTGGAGCACCCGGCTTCGCTCAGTCCGCCGAAACTTAAACTCTCGAAAGGTGAAGTAAGTCAAATCGTGAGCATGGCGGCTCCTGGGGTGGCGGCTTGTCTCTGTGACTGGAGGTCAAAATCCGGGTCCCGGGCAGTACGACCTTCGTGCCTGGGTTGCAAAACCTCCGAGATTTATTGGGAGGGCTTGAGTTTTGTTTCTTGCTGGTCTTGCTTTCCCGCATCCCGGAGACCATTTGTCTGAAGCCGGGACGTTGGCGTCAAAGCTCCTGTGTGTGTGCACTGGACCAGCTTCAGTAGACGAAGCCGAAGCTCGGAGCCATGAAAGCCCAAAATGGGCCCACGCTTCAAAGCGGCAAAGTCCGAGGTTCGAGGGCGGGCGGCCTGGAGCCTGGCCCGATTTTGGATTTGAGATTTGTCCAGGTTGAGGGGCTCGCAGTTTGGACCTTGACTGCTCGAACTTGAGGCTCGTAGTTTTGGCGCGGCAGCTAGAATTTCTGGAAGAGTTGATAGGTGAGGTGAAAGCTGTCCCGGGCATCGCACAAAGAAGAGACCCCGCTCCAGTTCCTCAGCATCGTCCCTATCCCCGCTGCTGCCACTACTGCTAGTTCTGCTACTGCTGCAGTGATTTTGCAGTCGCCGCCATCGCCGTCGCCGTCCTCGTCCCAGCAACACCAACACCAACACCAAC